ACCAGTTGTTTCAGTAACCAATAACTGTATACTTGCAGACTTGTATTTACGCAACAAATTCCTGTTAATTTCAGCGCTGTAGCTGCAAAAACACGTGCAGCAAGCGAAGCGGCAGAAAGAAGTGAGGTTGCCCTTGCCGGGATGAAGGTGTAAAATGCACAGAAAGATGTTCATGTGGAAGTAAAGCAGCTAATTGCAAAAACAAGACACAGGGATAGGGAACAGTTGCCTCCGCAAATGCAGGAAAAAACGCATTTGAATGTCTCGAGATCGCAGTCAACGAAGCAAAACAACAGATTACGGTGAGCACGTGCATTTTTTATCTCAGAGTTACAATATTGTAAGATTTCTCACAAGCATAAAGTGTCCGAATACTTTATATGGATTTTTAAGGCAATCGAACCCGCAACGTTGTGAAGCCACAGTACTAAGATATGCATGTATGATAGAGCAATCTATTTTACTTATACCTTTTGTGGCCTCAAAAATGTTGCAGTTGCACGTTTTGTACCGGAAGAAACACATTTTCGACCGATAATTTTCCTGTTATAATCGTTGGTTGCCTGGTTATATATTATTACAGATTACCTTTGTTCTCGCATTATGTATGTTCAAATATGATCTGCATGCTGATTATGTGTAAACCTTTGAACCTGGGATAAAGTTTAATATTTAGGAATAGGAATATAATAGAATATTTCAGTAAGGAATATATCAGGTTATTTGATTATGAAACCTGGTATAGAATAACTTCTATCCATTTAATTTTAATATGCAAAAGTATGTAACCATGCAAATATAAATTGTTTATGTATTTCCAGGAATTCATCAAAAACATTAACTGTTGATCAAAAGGGTAGTCTAGATTACGCCGGTAGTCTAAATCCCAGATATAAGGCCACGCTGGTGCAAATGTGGAGTATGCCGGCCTATAACTACTGATGAAGAAAACAAGTGTTGTGGTAAAATCAGGTGTCTAACATCATATGTAACATTCAGAATCACCTGTACAGAAAGAGTTAGTCATGGCCATCAGATCAAGGTGTGACATTAGGGCTGAAGAACCAGATTACTCAACAAACAGCTACAGAAAGGCTGCAATATCGCCAGTACATTCTCTGGCGATACAAAAAGCTGGGAAAGGGTAATAGAAAGGTGTGTCCATCGTGTGTAGTCTTGGCAATCAGACTCATATATCCTGCAAATGATGGGGTATACATGGGCTTGAAGAGAGCTTGACATTTTATTTTTAATAAATAATAGTCACTGAATAATCACTATGTACATATGATCCATTCAAAAATATCTATAATTTCATTTGTTAATTAAACACTATTGAGCGAAATGTCTTCTCCATACTTCTAACATGTTCTCATGATGTTGACGGACCTTCACCCTGTATAGCATCTTTATTGATCTGCTCTGTCACAAACCTTGATTGTGCCCTCTGGACAAGATCGCTTGTTTTAGGAATTGGTTTGAGGGCAATGGATGGGGCAATCTTCGGATGATCTTCTGGGACAGGAACTGCCATCAGAATACTTATTTGGTCCTTGACTTCCTTCGGCAGAATTCTGGTCGCAAGTGTGGGCCAGAAATCGCAGCTCTTAACAGAAAATCAAAAATACATTATGTATTAGAAACCATATACGCTCCCTGATCAATACTTTGATATACAGGGTGATCAAAAAAATTTAATTGTGTATTCTTTTCATATTATTTGCTGTTTTAAATGGAGTACACAATTAATTTGTTGTTATTTAGAGGGAGAGGTGGGAACAGAACAGGATCCACAAACTGAACAGGTTCAAGAAACTCACTAAAAGTTATTAGCTTATGTATGGAAGTATGCTATGTGGAATAAAATTACTAAAATACAACAAATATGAGGAAAAACTATACTTACTCATCTTCATCGTTACTGGAAAATTCTAGGTTTTGTTCTGTTTCTGGGAAACTTTCAGCAAAATCGGAACTGTTCTCACTTTAAAACAATACAGAACTGTATGTTAATACTTGAAAATCCAATCAACTTCATTATTAGTGTGTAGATATCGATGTACATGTATATCAGTACATGAGGTGAGGGGTTAAGCATTTCAGTCTTACGTTAACAATCTTTAATTCACCGTCTGAAGCTTGATATAGGAAAACGTATGAATATCATGTCTCTGGGGCTTTATCAATGATGAAAGATGATTTTAAATAGACAGTTCAATTACCTTGAATCGGAATCTGATTCTGAGCTGGTAGTATCGGTCTCGGAACTGGAAGGGTTGCCAAAATGTTTTCCAAATTCAGGATTAATGGAGAGTGACAAGTGTGACTGTGACTGATGCCCAAAGTCTCCAAACCTTCGACTTCATGTCCAGAAATATGAGAATAGACTCTCCATGAATATTTACACTACAAATGACATAAAGGGAACATTGCTTGTCAACAATCACGTGACGTGCATTCTTTATATTCACAGTAAAAGCCCATATTATAACTGAAAAATATACTCACACATCAACATCGATATCAGATTGGCTGGAAATTGATGATATTGAATCTTCAAATAACCTAGCTTTCCTTTGTCCTACAGCAGGCGTTGAACTACATGGTACATGTGAATGATGCACTAAATTAAAACAGACAAAACGTAGATTGTATACAAGCCGTATATAATTCATAATAACATGACTTTGGGGAAAATATAGAGTATAAATATAAACTGCAGTGATCGTACTAAATATTTCGACATACCACTACTAGGAGTTTGGATGCTTAGACCTTCGTATGTATTCATCATAAGATATTCTGCAATTTCGCTATGCGTTTTCGTCGAGAACCCAACAGAATCTTTTTTTGTAGTCCACATGTCATATATCTGCTTGGTTAATCTTATCCGCACGACTGCGTCGTCTTTCTTTGGCCTTCCACGTTTCGGAGGCGATGCTCCAACCATGAGTCGGAAGGAAATACACCAGTTTATCGAAAATTACGGCGTATTATTTATCAAAACCAACAAACAATTCCTCTAACATGGTCAATGCTCCAAGGGGAATACAAAAAATTAATAATTTATAACACGATTGTCCAAATATCGCGCAGATTCCACATTAATCCTCAAAATACAACTTGGTGGCCATTTTCGCGGCACCGTAAAATGGCCGACTAAGCCAATAAGCACGCAATGCATCACGGCCATGATACTCACTCTTTAAACAGGGAAATTAAACATTAAGTTAACCCTATTCCAAATACGTTTTTAAACTATTCAAATGATGGAAGTTATTGTTGTTTTTAAGCGTTTATTAGCAATAAACGATATTCTTAGGGTATACGCCCCCTGGGGGGGTGATATTCCTAGGATATTCGCCGCCCCCCGCCCGGGGGGCGATAGTCCTAAGAATATCGCCCCCTTTTGAGAAGGGGGGAATCTCCTGGGAGGCGAAGTCCTGTATCACCGGCTTGAAAAGGACCTTTCTAGTGAGAGGGAGAAATACAAGCGCCTGGAAACAGTGCGCGCCCAACCATGTAGAACAAAGCAATCATGTCCTTAATTGAGTTTAGGGTGAAAAAAACCTAGACGTTTCCAACAACAGACGCGTTGGCAAAGACTTATCAGTTAAGGATAATCAGTTAATTTTACATACTGATAACAGCCCAGTCGACCTATTACAAAGCCACAATAATAACGTGATCAATGGCACCAAATCCCTCGACGATCAGCTTACGAAAGGTAATTCGAATGCAAGGAAATTGCCAAATATTATCGAACACAAATCCCTACTTCAAGTTCCTGGAGTGTCAGTTACTATGAATGAAACGAAAGCATTAGCAAAGTCTAGAGTTCACCGATGATCGCGGCGTGGGCTCACTGTGCGGTGGTGGTCATCCTCACTGATCTCAAAAATATGGCGGGCTGTCATGAATAGCAACACTGTGATTGGTCCAATTTAAGGTTTGCATTATAAGAACTGCATGACGACGCGAAATAGCAAACATTTCTTGATTTGATGATCAATAAATTTCTTTCAAATATATTTCATTTTTGCTCTCATTTTTGCAAGATTTTGTAAATTCCAAGAAAGAAAGGGCGAAAGATCGGCTAAAAGAAGCAAGCCGGCGTTAACGAAGGTAAGTTTGTTTTAGATATTGATTTTATAATTGCTTTAAAACCTGACGGCCTTTGCGTATATGAGACAATTAAACAACTAAACAAGACAGCACATAATTTCACGGTATCTTTAATATTGATTCCTTTTTTATTATATTGAATTTTTTATATAATAAAGAAAGCAAAGTAATTTGCATGCGAGAATTTTAAATCATTTTATTGCAAAATCAAAATTTATCGATAAAGCCATTTAGTTAAAGGCAATTTAGTTTTATAAAGAACACTTTAAAACGTTTTGCGAAGCGTTTGTGAGGGAAATGGCAATTTATTATTTTATTTTCTCATTTGATCTCATTTACGGTAGTTTTGGTGACGTCACAACAGGGATTAACCATATAAAAGTATTCGTTGCTGACCAAATATTGATTGGTAGATGTTTTAAAGGTTTCAAGTGATCTTGATATTTCCAAGGCAAAATGATTAGTCATTGTCTAGATAGAAATATTCCGTGACCCCTGCTGTGACGTAACATGCATATTATCTACAAAAATCCAAGATGGCGGACATTTCATTTCTTTCGATTAAAATATTTGTAGAAGTAAGCAAGATATGAAAAAACAGTAAAAGAGTTTTATATATGCTTTTTAATGTTCTTTCAAACGAGAAAATAAAAAAATATATTGCCATTTTCCTTTAAATCGAAGTTTATATTACGTATAATAACATACCTAACATATATGTTGGGAAATTGATAATTTTGTAATTAAAAGTGATATTTTTAGGCGATTTTTCATTTGTAAGAATATTCTTAAAAAATTAGCGTGTTACCATGACAACTACTTTAGATACTTAATGTTCGGAAAATACAATGGTTTTGTCACCAAGGCGAGGGTTTCTGCATGCATGCATTTTCTGGTATGTTTTTTAAGTTCAGATATTGGTAATGAGAACTATATGGGTGTCCTGGCGGCTGCGCCCCTGACAGATTTACAGCAATTTTGCACCGGTCGGGTATAATATTTATCCCTATATATACTTGTTATTCAATACAAGGAATTATTAAATGAGTTTGATATATAATGTATTAATAAATAATCCCTGAGCCGACGGCGCGAAGCGCCATACGAGGGTACTAATCCCCCCCGGCTATTTACACCCGGGGAAACGAAAGCATTAGCGAAATCTAAAGTTCATCAATAATCGCGGGCGTGGGTCACCAACGATGATTCGGTGGATGGTCATCTTCACTGATCTCAAAAATATGGCGGACTGTCATGAATAGCGGACACTGATTGGTCCAATTTAAAGTTTGCATTATAACGACTGCATGACGACAGCGAAAATGCAAAATAGCATTATAGCACAGAGTGCACAGAGGCGGAACTCGCGGCCATTCCTTTGTTCTTTGTGATCCCGTGCCACGTCATTTCCAAGCGCCACACAAATTGCTCTGGCAAGTGTCATTCGTCGTGTTTTCAGTCAAAAGCATAGGAAAAACACCGTTCGAAAGTAGAAAAATAAATATTTTTGCGAAGTTGCTCCACCGATCTTCATTTCGGGACTCAAATTTAAAGATAAATGGTAAGTGGTTATTTTTGTGTAAGGGACCGATCATAAAGTAAAAGGGGGATGGACTGGGAAAATCATATATTTGGTGTCTGCACTTTTGGTAGCCCACCCTTAATAGCTGCACGAAAATTTATAGCCCACCCTTAAATTGGTGCTGAAAAATTATGACCCACTCCTTTTCCAATATTTTCAGGAAAAATATTTTTCAGACAATAACTTTCCCCCCCCCCCGTCGATAAATTTTTTAGGTAAAAAAATTTTCCGCACGAGTACATTGCAATTGCTTACCAAAGACTTTATCTTAATTTTTCATACCAAATTTCAGTACCTAGGCCAAAAAAACAGATAATTTGTTCTTTGCGCGGAAAAATTTACACAAAAAAATGACTGGGGCCCAATCTTCTACATATTTTTACATTGCCCACCCTTATGATTGCGCTTAACTTTCGATGACCCACCCCTTCAACCGTGCTCAAAAATAGTAACCCACCCCCCTATTTTTCTCAGCCCCTTTTACTTTATGACCGGTCCCTAAAAAGATATACTAGGCCGTTTGCCGTGACCTAAAAATATGCCTAGAAAACGATTTTCATTAAGCATGTCGTGGAACTGAAATATTTTCACGGTAACTAACATTTTAGAACACGCTGAATTCAAATCCGAAAAGTTGCCGCTCCGTAGACCCGCAGTTTTTTCACAAATTGCATTTGTATTTTCAGTTCTTCGACGAACAAAAATAAACACGCGCCATTTTGAAATTAAATAACATCACTCAGAGTATGCCGTTTAACCCGTTTTTGCTCCCCAGTCTCCGATGCTCATGACCGAGTTAAGATTTAGAGCAATGTTATTAAATTTGCTGCAAAACAAACACAGTCACGTGGTTTTAAAAATGGCTAGTCAGAGTGATTTTCAGTTTATTTGCCAGTAAAATCGCTAAAGAATGAGAAATAAAAGTTTAAATTCTTTATTTGGCAGAGAAAGCAATAAGGTAGGTGTTCCCTTTGTATATTTTTTGAGTTTGTTTAAGGCTATTAATGGCCTATAGTATAGAAGAACAAACAAGTGATTATTAAAGTGAACAACCATCACGATTTATTCAGGTTTTATAGCTGTCAGACACATATAAGGAAAGGATTAATTAAGGCCAGTCTGCTTGAAAACTCACAGTAAAATTGTTCCATATCAAGTCTGCTGTTTATGGGAGTTATTGTTGGTCATAAGGTGTAAAGTAATTTATAGAAACTGTTATTCAAATATTGATTTATCACCCCATGAAATGTCAAGAAGGGCCAGAAGGCCAACAAAACCATGAACATTTGCATAGTATAAATGATTATTATATCTGCATAACCTGCTGCTGACTTATTTATTCCATACTTTATTGCATCTTCAAGATTTAGAATGTGCTAGAATATACACACACAAGAATATGTAATAGCTAGGATATACAAATACGATTCTGCATGAATTGATTGGGTCTAAACTTGTATTAATTCCGTCAATTACAAGGAAAGATGTTTGGCTGAGATCAGCCTGGTTTTGAGATCTACAGTAGCCGCTCTATAAGCAGCCCTAAATTAGAATATCTACAATCCTGGAAAAAAATTATTGTGGTCAGTGTGGGCAAAAATACAAATATACCTGCCTTGCCCAAAGATACATGCAAAAACAGCATTTTTTTAACTGTTGAAAAGCTTCTAGATCGGTTAGGCGAAAGCTCTGTGACTGATGGGGGAGATGAAGATGCCAATATGTGTATGTGAACAGTAATACATTAATCGTTCAGAACTATAAGTGTCCACATAATTTTTGCCATGATTGTAGCTATGGGTGGAAGCAAAACTGTGAGTTCAAAATATATTCAACAGCATATAAAATGTTTTGTTGCCCAATTTGGCAAAGTAATACTTTATATTGTTGTTATGCTGGTTTTTTCCAGCTTGACAGTAAACAAGCTGTTTGTTTTGTTTTATAACCTGTTAGAAATAAGGAAAAATACATGAGTCCCAGGCAGCTGTGCTTGGATCTTAACCCTTTAAAGTAGTTGCATTGCTCCCCAATGCACCCTACTTTATTAGTCTACTCTGTCTAATGCCAGACAATTTTCCTCGTCAAGTGGAAAAGTGCTGGCGCTCATGCATGCAATAGGTTAAACACCCAGGTCACTAACATGCTGCTCTACTATGCAGTTGAACTAAATGTGATCAATGACAGGCCGCGCTCAGATTTGTGTACTCTGCCCTGCATGGGGAAAGCCACATACGAATAAAAAATATTTAATATAAGTTTAGACCCAATCTATTCATGCAGAATCTTATTTGTATATCCTATTACATATTCTTGTGTGTATACTGTATATTCTAGCAGTCTAAATCTTGAAGATGCAATAAAACATGGAATAAATAAGTCAGCAGCAGGTTATGCAGATATAAATAATCACGTATACTATGCAAATGTTCATGGTTTTGTTGGCCTTCTGGCCCTTCTTGACATTTCATGGGGTGATAAATCAATATTTGAATAACAGTTTCTATAAATTACTTTACACCTTATGACCAACAATAATTCCCATAAACAGCAAACTTGATATGGAACAATTTTACTGTGAGTTTTCAAGCAGGCTAGCCTTATATGTGTCTGAAAGACAGATTATTAATAAACCTGAATAAATCGTGAATCGTGATGGTTGTTCACTTAATCACTTGTTTGTTCTTCTATACTATAGGCCATTAATAGCCTTAAACAAACTCAAAAAATATACAAAGGGAACACCTACCTTATTGCTTTCTCTGCCAAATAAAGAATTTAAACTTTTATTTCTCATTCTTTAGCGATTTTACTGGCAAATAAACTGAAAATCACTCTGACTAGCCATTTTTAAAACCACGTGACTGTGTTTGTTTTGCAGCAAATTTAATAACATTGCTCTAAATCTTAACTCGGTCATGAGCATCGGAGACTGGGGAGCAAAAACGGGTTAAACGGCATACTCTGAGTGATGTTATTTAATTTCAAAATGGCGCGTGTTTATTTTTGTTCGTCGAAGAACTGAAAATACAAATGCAATTTGTGAAAAAACTGCGGGTCTACGGAGCGGCAACTTTTCGGATGTGAATTCAGCGTGTTCTAAAATGTTAGTTACCGTGAAAATATTTCAGTTCCACGACATGCTTAATGAAAGTGAACGATATCGGGTCACGGCAAACGGCCTATACGTTTATAGGCTAAATAAAAAGAAAAAAATAGTATAAACTTAGTACCGCATGGCCATAATTAACAATCTCGGTGGTTGTGATGTTCTGCCGAGAAGCAGATTCCCATTTCGCTAAATTAATGGCCAAACGTATTGCTTCCCTGGCTTTTAAATTCGTAAGAAAGCATGGGTGCTGATCTGAAACACCTCCATGCTCATTGCACACTTCCTTCTGGTTCAATGTAGCTTTGGGATTTGTGAGCATATATTATAAAACGTTTATAAACTACCTAGGTTTTTACTTCTATGCAACTATTAAGCACATTCACAAATGTATTCACCATCAAAGAAACGTTTCTTTAGGGATTGTTAAACCGCATGCACTGCTTATGCCCTCAAAGGTCAGAGGTCTTGAACATGAATAGCAGAGCCTACTGAGTACTGTCATTGACATCCTTTGTCACAAAATTATGATGGTATATTGGAAAGCTATGTTGGATAAGGCACTTCCTTAATAATTAGCCTGACACATAAGTTCATGCAGATTAAGTTTTGTTCAATTTCATTTGTTTTGTAGTCGGTATCTTCGAGACTTCGACAGCTTGGATTAGTGGTGGACTTGTCTGATCAATTCCTGCAGATAAATCAGATTGGCTAGGGTGAAATGCAATCAAATAGGCATCAAAATCTTCATCACAGTTGCCAATTGAAAGCGGTGTCAAAATATTATCTACAAAATTATCTACATGTCGAAATTTAAAATTTGTTTTGTACTATACAGCTGGAATAGTAGGTTTTTATATTTACTATTCCGTCTGAAGATCCACTATTCCTTAATGTACTGTTTCTGAGTGCCCGTTCATGCAGGGTCCGCGCTAATGTTCTGATTTTCACGAAATCATCATTGAGACTCCTAAAGTGAACTGAATAATTGAATAACAAAAAATAAACATGTACAGTACATTGCTCTGTACAGTGATGCATAAATTATTAATAAAAAACAGAGTTCAAACACTGAAATGAACTTGCGAACTTTGTTGCGAAGTTCGCGCTCAATTTCCGAAAGGTCCAGACACACCGGACATGTCTTTACTCTGTGATTATAGCAAATATTTCTTGATTTGATGATTGATAAATCATAGTTCTTGCAAATATATTTCATTTTTGCTCGCATTTTTGCAAGATTTTATAAATTTCAAAAGCTTTCTCAGAAAGAAAGGGCGAAAGAATGCGCTAAAAGAAGGGAGCCGGCGTTAACAAAGGTAAGTTTGATTTAAATATTGATTTTATAATTGCTTTAAAACCCGACGGCCTTTGCGTATATGAAACAACTAAACAAGACAGCATATAATTTCAGTGTATCTTTAATTAACTTAATATTGATCCCCTTTTTTATTATATTGAATTTTTTAAATAAAAAAGAAAGCAAAGTTATTTGCATGCGAGAATTTGAAATCATTTAGTTATTGCAAACTCAAAGTTTATCGATCAAGCCATTTAATTAAAGGCAGTTTAGAAGAACACTTTAAAACGTTTTGCGAAGCGTTTGTGGTTGAATTTTACCTTAAATTGAAGCTTGTATTACGTACAATAACATACCTAACATATAAATGTTGGGAAATTGATAATTTTGTAATTGAAGTGATATTTTTATGCAATTTTCATTTGTAAGAATATTCTTAAAAAATTGTCGTGTTACCATGACAACTACTTTAGATACTTCATGTTCGGAAAATGCAATGGTTTTGTCAACAAGGCTAGGGTTTCTGCATGCATGTATTTTCTAGTTAGAACTTAAAGGAGCTATGTCACCATCTGGGCATCTTTTCTGCGAATACCTAATATATTCGGAAATTATTCGGAAAACGTCGGAAAGTTGTCAAGCAGCGATGAATGATGTCTTCCTGTAGTATGAATACGGTAAGAAAACATGAATAAATTTACATATATTTTTGTGCGAAATTGATCGATCTTTCATGAACACTACATAGGTTGAGTATTGTGAATGCAAGAGCTCTTGTAGTACTAAGAGGAAGGAGAATAGTAGCCGAGGATGGTTAGTCTGTCGATTAGTCTGTCGATTATATGTTTTCAATACATTCATTTGGCTTACAGTTTGATTCGTTAAAAAATCAAATCGTTTTGTAGTCATTTTCCCCGAGCCGGCGGCGCGAAGCGCCGTGCGAGGGTACTAATTCCCCCCGGCTATTTACACCCGGGGAAACGAAAGCATTAGCGAAGTCTAAAGTTCATCAATGAGCGCGGGCGTCGGTCACCATCGATGGGTGGTCATCCTCACTGATCTCAAAAATATGGCGGACTGTCATGAATAACGGACACTGATTGGTCCAATTTAAAGTTTGCATTATAACGACTGCATGACGACAGCGAAATAGCAAACATTTCTTGATTTGATGAGTTGATGATTGATAAATTTCTTGCAAATATTCTTCATTTTTGCTCGTATTTCTGCAAGATTTTGTAAATTTCAAGAAAGAAAGGGCGAAAGAATCAGCTAAAAGAAGGGAGCCGACGTTAACGAAGGTAAGTTTGTTTTAAATATTGATTTTATAATGGCTTTAAAATCCTATGGCCTTTGCGTATATGAAACAACTAAACAAGACAGCATATAATTTCAGTGTATCTTTAATATTGATTCCCTTTTTTATTATATTGAATTTTTTAAATAAAAAATAAAGCGAGAATTTGAAATCATTTTATTGCAAACTCAAAGTTTATCGATAAAGCCATTTAATAGTTAAAGGCAGTTTAGTTTTATAAAGAACACTTTAAAACGTTTTGTGAATAGTTTGTGGTTGAATTTTACCTTAAATTGAAGCTTGTATTACGTATAATTACATACCTAACATATATATGTTTGCAAATTGATAATTTTGTAATTAAAAATGATATTTTTGGGCGATTTTCATTTGTAAGAATATTCTTAAAAATTATCGTGTTACCATGACAACTACTTTAGATACTTCATGTTCGGAAAATACAACGGTTTTGTCAGCAAGGCGAGAGTTTCTGCATGCATGTATTTTCTAGTATATATACATATCATGATTCAGGAAAGAGGAGAGAACTCACAGACCACTGGCACTGCTCGCACTATGTCGCAAAGAAAGTCGGTAGCTGGATTTCGCCTTTCTCGTCCATCGGCTGATTCCGAAGAAATGCAAAGAGAAAAGGAACACGAAGATGTAAAATTATGTAGAGCACCAGATATCTGTTTGTTTAGTTTCCTAGCTAAACTTCCCTGTAGAAGACATAATTTGCTAAGTCATTTATATTTTTATATTATAAACGTATACAAGTACAGTATGTTTACTATATTGAGTATTGATTATTTGATTGAGATTTGGTGATATTGTTTGCAGTGAAAATCTCTTTAAAATTAAATGATATACATGCAGTAGCTGTCAAATAACCTTGTAAAAGGCCATGTAAAGTCCGTAATGTAAACAAACGCTTTGTTTACATTTTGAACTCAGTGCTGTAGTACGTTGTAAAATTTGATTAGATATACTGTACCTGTAATATATTATACTGAATTTTCTAACCATGTCTTTTGGACACATGGTGAGAGACCAAAAATGTACTGCAAACAGTATTCAACTAGTTCTAAGCTGAGAAGCCATATATGTTTATCCTTAGGTTTAATCAATCTAATTTGAGAGGTCTTCACGTATTTTAGGACTTTATTGCCACTTTGGATGAAGCGATGGTGAGGAAGCTAGCTGTTCGGGGCCTCAGGATGGGTATTGGAAGTATGGATTATATCCACACCCTCCTAATAATGGAGGTTGACCTTGATGAGACAGAACATGATGAGGATATGGGTGCATTTGAGGAAGATTCAGGAGAGCTGCGTAACGATAAAGATCAACCCCATAGCTCAGCAGGCCCACCTGAACAACACAACCCCTTGCCTACATCAGCACCAGAATGGCGTGTATGTGGATATTGCAGACCCATGCCACAGGAGATAGAAAATAAATGCTGCAGACAAAAGAATTGTATTACTTTAACCTCAAGGTTTGCTAAAATATGCTTAGACCAAGATGTTTTGGAGTTATGTATTCGAAACACTGGGGACATTCGCAACGATGAGGAGGATAATAGTACCCAAGCATTTAGAAAAGCTGGATACAGACAGTTTGTATTAGCACGTCATGGACACCTCGGAAAGGGAAATAGAAGGGTTTGCCCATCTTGTGTTGTATTAAAAATACGGGGACGATATCCATCTGTCACAGGAGTCTATATGGGCTGTCACAGGAGTCTATGTCTTCATGTGATAAGAATAATTGATATTTTCACCATTTACATTCCTCTGTTGCTATTCCCATACGACGGACTAGTTGATTGCCTCTACCCTTTGACCTGTCCGGCATGGGTGACCCTGCCAGGAGCTTATGCTCCAGCCGGCATAGCTCTAGGGGTCATGGAGGCAAACAACTCAATAACTCAACAACTCATTAATTCAAGCCCCCAACCATGGGCTTGGTGATCTCCAGGGATTGTTCCAGTTACTATTTTTTGAATCGGCTTCTTCGCTCCGCAATTTCTTTCGTAGATGGTAGTGGAACATGGGCAATTGTCATGGAAATAAGGCCAGGATCACTTGTGTTTAGGGCAATTTTCTGTGTGACATTCCCTGATAAATCAACAGCTCTACTCCTGAGAACTCTAGATGTCAGCACTGGGATGTATTCATAACCCTTGGTAACTTTGATTTTTTTGATGTCCCACTGCCTGGTCCTAAGATTATACTTTCGGGTGACCATGCATTCGCCAGACTGTAATTTTGCTTGCGGAAGGTTGAGATGGAAATTCCAATCAATGGCTGCCAGCTGTCGTCGAGCTTTATAAACTCTATAACTGAAAGGAACATTACGTCTTGGTACAGGTTATATGACTTTTTGATTCACATATTACATAATTTGGAACAATGCTTTCATATAAATTTCTGGCTAAAAAAGCATAGTACCTAAATGGTGTTCGTTTAGGGGTGTAAACCAAGCCAAGATTGTTTGCGCATTCAATGCCACCAGTGTGTCTATAAAAGCTTAAAAATATACATAATTGGCAGTGAAACTAATTTCACTTCAAAATACCTGCTTTCTTACCGGAAACGGGTATAGTACTTGAAACTGCCAAGTAATTCGGGGTTTAGAATGGTTTTTTGTAATTCTACAAAATCCTTATCCCGACGATCGAACCATGGTAGACTCTCATCATGTTCACCGTCATCATGTTCACATTCACCACCTATCCATTCATGCTCATTGCAGATGTGATGGAGTAAACCAATCCACATATCCTATTAATAATTACAGTAAAAAAAATTTAAGCTTGACAATCTGACATGTTGGTAGAAAAACAACATAGAAGTATGACTATTGATGATTAAAAAATAAACATACCTTCATAGTCTTAAATGCTTCTCTATCAGAGGTTGTCTCGTCTTTTCTGAATGCGCTGGTACAATGCCAAAAGTGGGTGATAATATGAGCTGACCAGTCCCTAACCTTTTTCATTGCCTTTGGTTTTCCAAGCTGAAATATTTTAAAAAAATGCCAAAACAATGTTATGTTAGGGCAGGGGCGTAGGAAGCAGCGGGGAAGGCAAGCCCCCCCCCCAATATTTTATAAGGGGGAGGAGATAGCTTTTGCTCCCCCCCCCCAAAAAAATGGATTTAAATACTGCAAAATTCTCGAAACTGGAAGTACTTTAAACCGTATATATCATATTAATAATGTATCCGCAATTGTTTATTGTTATGCGATACACCCAAAAGCATTCACTATAGTCCAAAAATGCTATGTATATTGCAGAATATTTTTCCAATCATTTACTGTAAGCCAACCATTGTAATGTTAGCATAAACCTAGGTCAACACTCTGTCAAACAGGCAAATTACAGTTCATGGAACAATATACAAACCTTCGTCAGACACTTTTTAATGCTTTTTGCTTTGTGCCAAACATCCAAACTGCGTACAATATTGTCATATCGTGTTTCGGAAATGGAAAATATAATAAACAAGACGCTCTACAGAGCGTTAACTCGCTGGGGCTATACTAGACTTGGTTGAAGGTTTTCTTTCACATTTTCGCACCTTTTTTGACCGCTCGCATGCATCGCTATTTTCAACCCCTTGAGAGACGGATTTGAACCAAGTCTAGGGCTATACAAATACGCATATTACTGTGCATCAGAGGAGGTTGGACAGCAGGCCGCAAAGCATCATGGGTATTGAGCGCCTAATTCCGCGCGTGACTTCATTCACTGTTGACTGTCGAGGAATGAACATCTCTCTGACTAAACCAATATGGAAGCTTTCGAACGACAAGAGTGTCAGGCTGCGATACTTTGTGAAAAGAAACAGCATGTTATTGCTGTATTGTTGCGATCATCATTATGACTTGTGTTTTACTATACCAAGTTTACCTTTTTTAAATATTTGCATGGGACATGTTGTCATTTTAGCTTGATAAATAATGCGTTTGAGCGAAGGAATTTTGTTTATATTCCCAGTAGCGAGGCTCTTCTTCCTAACTTGGATGACGTTAAATCTCCGTGTATCATCAACGTGATGAAAACAAGCGCAATATTTAAGGTTGGTATACTACAATGCATTACAGTTACCTTGTTATTTAGTCAAATTATTATCCGCTTTGTTGTTTTTAACCTTGTACTGTAATTTTGACCCTATTGTGTGTGTCTGTGTACTGTGTCACTGTAATACATATGTACATGCTTTGAGTTAAACAAATTGTTTAATAAATTTTTGCTGAAGTATGATGCCTGTTTGTATCTAGTTGTGGATAGATTTTTACATATATGTGCATACAATAGTGATATTTTTCAATTTTCATCTGTAAAATATTGCCATATTTGTGTGTTGTTCTATAAATATTACTGTAAATAGTGACACACTTTTGCATTAGATTTCTAATTTTAGAGATTACAGCTTATGTACAAAATAATAAAATAAAAATTTTCTTGTTATGATTTTGTAGAAACTAAGGATCTACTTGAGTGGTTGGCTGGTCTTGAACCTGGTCAGCATGGATATGGTAATGAAGGTGATAGGGCAGAAAGTGGTGACCAGTTAAGTGATGAGGATGAAAGTGACGAGGACGAAATCACCCATGCTGTACCATTCAAGTGCATCGGTGCTGCTCATGAGAAAAATTACCAACATCAACAGCATACCTTGCTCTTCATGGACAAGATAAACCAGTGAATGTAAGAATACGGCCAGAGCCATTGAATCCAATGGACCCAAGTGCAATTGCAATTGATGTAGACTATGGAACTGGATGGACACACATTGGTTATCTTGCTTCTCAACTATGCGAGTATTTGCACCGACTAATTGCCACAGGAGATATCTTAGAGGTCTATGTTCAGCATATCAAGTATAGGGTTGACTTTTTTAAAATAGGATTTTATCAAAAAATTTTCATAAAGCGACGTGGTGAGTGGGAGACTCAAGTGGTAAGGGATAGCATGAGTGTACGTTGACAGATGTTTGTGATATAATTGTAACTGACTAGGTTTAGCAAGTTATAGAAATGATCTTATTTCAATTAGGAAACTTTTTAGATTTTCATAAACAAAAACTAGGTTAATCATAAGTGGGTGTGCACAATTAAAATAAAAAAAGTCTGTCATGCACACTCATGCAATTAAGACAAGTACATAATTGTAACATGTGCTGTACTAAATGAAGAAATAAATAGTTTGTACATTCACTTGACCAACTTTGTGAGTAATTTTTATTTTTCATTAAAATTAATGAAACAATAAAACAAAAATATGTCTATTTATATACATATTGATCAAAGGTCCCACAATAACATGCTGCTGATACTTTGTGGTACATTACATGAGAATACAAAAAAAACCTGCATATAATTGCACCTATCAATGTCAAGCCCCAGAGGGGGGTGGGCATATGTAGGGTATTTGATCATCAATTGCATCCCACTATGGGGATTTTGATTAGCATTTTGGGCCTGAGTTAGGGCAATTTGAACCAAAATGACTTTTATTAATATAGTATTTATTGCAATTTATTGCAAAATGGTGGGGTGTTTGACCAATACTTATTACCTAACAGTGGGGCATTTGATTGAAAATTTGCTCAAAAAATCAAATGCCCACATATGCCCGAACCACCATTTCTCAAACTTTATCTGAATTAGTTGTGTAACATCATTACAAAATACTGTTAAAAAAAGACCAAGTGGGCCTTCACTCCTATAAAGGGAATTCTATCCAATGACATCAGACCAACATCTCAATGGCGTTGTTCTCCAAAGCATCGAGCAGTGTGATAAATCAGATTGTCTTTTTGACCAGCATGAAGTACAGACATAGCCTTGGCAACAAGTGGGAGAAAATTTTGAGGGACAAATTTAGCATCTAAACCAGGGTAACAGGGTTAACTTTTACCAGCCATTTTTGAAACAGGTGGATTAGTAGTTATTCTGGTTGTTGCTGGGTTAGTTTTGAAAATCCAGAAGTCATACCAATAACATAACCAGAAAAGTGAACAAGGTTTTGGTCACTCGATGGAGAGACAATCATAGCATCGGAGATGTTGCAGATGTAGAAGGTCTGTACAGATTGGAAGGACCGATTTTACCTCCAAATTTAATGATGGTGCTTAATTCTTGCACACAAAATCATTGACAAAAATAGAATCCAGCCAAAATCACGAATCTCAAATCTAAAACTTCAGCCAAAAAATAAATTTCACTTGTAAAATATTGTTACGGAAGAGCTTTAATTATTTGCACACTTTAACTGCAATATATACAATCCATAATATATCGAAACTTCTATAATATACCACACTTCTTTAGAAAAAAGCGAGTAATAGCAGTTCATTATCGATCTGAGTGACAAGGCAACATATTTTACAGAGGGCTATATTCAACGGTGAATATCTCGAAAACGGTTGCGGGACCGAGGGGGGCCGGCTGGATAGAATTAAAGATTATACTTTTGTTTAACTAATCGTGAAAAAAATAGCGAAATCGAACCGTGGAAATTTGAGATTTTTGTCTTCAAAGATTGTTGACAGAAACGCCATTAAATTACATCGCGACGGTATAGTGCCTAAAGTGAGAGGTTAAAATAAACTGGAAAATAACGCTTACCTTTCAAGATACCGTTCCAATGGGTAGATTCACTGTTGCAAAAGTAGTATCGCGTGAAATTTCCAAAAAAACGTGCATAACAATATGAAAAATGTCGATATTTATGAGCCCTATGTAAATTTTCGATGCCAAAAGCTTCGTGCGAGCATTAGGAAAATGGCGCAATCTGATTGGTCGAGAGATTCGCCCAGATTCGCCTAATTAGCTGTCCAACCTCCTCTGCTTCAAAACTTAGAATTTACTCTTCAAAACATGGCATTTACTCTTCAAATCTTGGAATTTACCCTTCAAACTTAGAATTTTCTCTTCAAAACATCGAATTTACTCTTCGAAACATAGAATTTACTCTTCAAAACTTAGAATTTACTTTTCAAAACATCGAATTTACTCTTCAAATCTTGGAATTTACTCTTCAAGCTTCGAATTTTCTCTTCAAATCTTAGAATTTACTTTTCGAAACATAGAATTTACTCTTCAAAACTTAGAATTTACTCTTCAAAACATCGAATTTACTCTTCAAATCTGGAATTTACTCTTCAAACTTAGAATTTTCTCTTCAAATCTTAGAATTTACTCTTCGAAACATAGAATTTACTCTTCAAAACTTAGAATTTACTCTTCAAAATGTCAAATTTACTCTTCAAATCTTGGAATTTACTCTTCAAACTTAGAATTTTCTCTTCAAATATTAGAATTTACTCTTCGAAACATAGAATTTACTCTTCAAAACTTAGAGATTTACTCTTCAAAATATCGAATTTACTCTTCAAATCTTGGAATTTACTCTTCAAACTTAGAATTTTCTCTTCAAATATTAGAATTTACTCTTCGAAACATAGAATTTACCCTTCAAAACTTAGAATTTACTCTTCAAAATATCGAATTTAATCTTTAAAACTTGGAATTTACTCTTCAAACTTAGAATTTTCTCTTCAAATATTAGAATTTACTCTTCGAAACATATAATTTACTCTTCAAAACTAGAATTTACTCTTCAAAATATCGAATTTACTCTTCAAATCTTGGAATTTACTCTTCAAACTTAGAATTTTCTCTTCAAAACTTAGAATTTACTCTCTTCAAATCTTGGAATTTACTCTTCAAACTTAGAATTTTCTCTTCAAA